AAGAGTGTAATACCATTTATAATAGCCAACCACAAATTAAGATATTTGGGAGTGAACCTAACTGGAGACACAAATGACCTGTACTGAATAAACTACAACAATTTTTGGGAGACACAATTGACTATTTTATTTTTTATTTATTTTGCCTTTTATTTGATTGGTTGATGTATGCTTAAGGGTAAGAGGCAGGAAAGAATAAACAAAACAAAGATGATCAGTAAAAAGAAAAAAGAACGCATATTTTTCTGGTATTCTCTGCTTTTAGAAGAGACATTTCCTCTTTGGAGACCCCAGGAATCTCCTCACCAAAAATATGGTGTAGGGTAAGTGGATCAGGGAAAGCAGTAACTGGGGCATCATTGCCCTCAAGTTGGAAGTTACTAATACCTCACCCTTCGGTGGGCTTTCAGGAGCTAGAAATGGCTCCAGAGGCAACTGCCCACCTTCCCCCCACCCACCCCCATGAGTGGCTGGTGAATTCCCACTGCGGGTCTTTGGGTTGTCAGAGCAACCCCCTTCACAGAAGCTGCCAGGGTTTCCTTGAGAACTTTTAGAAAATGGCATTCAAAACTCTCACTGTCACCAAGACTGCCCCAATTCACTGCTGTCCCTTCAGGGAGTTTACAGAGGCTGTAAATCACAGGAAAGATAGGGAACTGCCCCCTCCCCAGATCTGCTGGTGGATTTAAAACTCCTTAAGGCATTCATGTTTGGGTCAGTAGCACAGCTCCTGAACACTAAACCACAAAAACTCCCTAGAAACAAAAATAAAATAAAATCTTAAACTCCTTGCCACCCAATAGGAACCAACACATACGGGTTCGGGTGTAGATGCTGTAAATGACAAGGGAAGAGACTGCTTATCTTTCCTCCTTGCCGCCCAATAGGAACCACCACATACGGGTTCGGGTGTAGACGCTCTAAATGACAAGGGAAGAGACTGTTTCTCTTTCCCTGTGGAGGTACTGGGGAATCAAACTTGTGAGGGAGGTCTTCATCTCGTGGATTGACTGGTGGATTTGAACATATGTTATAAGTCTGCAGGATACCCCCCGATGGGCTAGGACAACAGAGTTCCCAGAAACAGAACAAAACCTAGAAATTCAAACTCATTCCATCTAGACAGAACCAACGCATACCACAGCTTCAAGTGAATTTTCGAGGGTTGGAAACCCCAAGGAGAGAGATCAGCCTGAAAAGTACTTTGCCCAAGAAGCCTACCCAACTTATGGTTTGGCCTGACATGCACTAGAGGAGTCTAAGACCTAAATATTTTCCCTAAGTTTGGGACACACATCCCTATGGGCAAGAACCCAGAATCCAACAGGTGTGTGTGGGAAGCATCTTGAGTGGGTACTAAAGAATGATGAACTTCCAACCAGTAGTCTCCATGCTGGCAGTGCTGGTAGGAGCCCCATCAACCCTTAGCAGCCCCCCACCCCCAAACAACCTCCATCAGATGTGACGCCGGTAGACTTTTATCCCCCAATATCCCTGAAGGTGGGAAGACACATGTCTGCTTACAGAATATCTGATCACTCATCAGGCGAGGACACTCAACTCCAAGGCTGTTCAAAGCCCTGGTGAGGACCCTAAATGTGGACTGAAGAGACCACCCACTCCAGAAATTGTAGTCTCAGCATGGGACCTGCCCTACTGCCAGGCTCACATGCACTTGATTGATGTCACCATGCAAAGTCTCGGGGGAAGAAAGACTATGGTGTAAGGGGGGGTGTAGCCCATGAAGGCAAAGGGTGGGGAGATCTGGAACCTTATTAGGAAGCAAACAGTGACCCTCAGAGCCAATGTGGAGTCCTCATTGCCTAAGGTGACCCCTCAAGGTAATGCTCTGCTCTGAGTGCACCCGTACTGGGACACCCCGATATGTCGCATCCTTACTTTCCTCCACCCCCATGGAGGTCTGGCATGAGCCTTGAACCTGCACTGCTGCATTCAGGGGGATAGAGTCAGTAGAGGGATGATGGGAAGACTTAGCTTACAATCCCAGTCAGAAGCTCTGGTGAGGCCTAGAAGGAATGCACATGCTACTGTGAACTGTAGGGGTCTCAAAAACCTTCTTCCCCATACCACTATTTCCAAAATCCTTCCCAAATGTTTAGTGATTGTAAAGAACTCCAGAAAACATGGCGATGCAGCTTCCAACAGGGATATCCCAGGGTGCTTGGTCTGGGATTAGAGGAGTGTGGCTTCAGGTCTCTAAACTCTAGAGTTCCACAGTAGTGCACAGGAAGGGGGAAAATGCTTGAGACTGTAGATACCACTCAGTGCAAAATGGGGATGGTTGGAGTGTGCCACCTCTTGCCATGGCCATGGGATCATAGGACTGAAGGAGAAAGATGGGCTATCTGCTCCCTTGTAATTAACTGCCTATGAAATCATGCTAGATGGTCAGCTTGATTGTACACAACACAGTTTGTTAGTGTGAACAGTGAGGTCTCAAAAACGTTCTCCACTGTTTCCACAATCTTCAAAACCCACCCTGAGTGCATGCTGATACTAAATAACCTTTACAAAACACCTCTACTCTGACTCCAACAGTGATTTCTCAGGAGGTGGAGTCCTCGGGTGGAAAGTTTTGGCCTCCAGTCTGCAAAATTGGAGGCCACACAACAGAGGAAGGAGATGTAGTCCCTAAAAATAATCAAGGTTAGTGGAAGGGACTGAAGAGGATTATCCTAAGTGAACTTTGCCCCGATAGTACAAATATAGTATAAGACCATTACTGTAGAAGAGGGTCCATGGTAAGGATTCATAGATAATAGGCTTATACAATTTAATGGGAAAAGGAAATGGGAATGATCCGATGTGAAAAAATGTATAGGAACTTTGTAAGTAAAAAAGTATAAAAGAAAAATTGTGTTAAAAATTTTTTTTTGGCTGAGTACAGTGTACTTTATTGATGGTACATGACAGGATGGGCTCGCCAAGCCCTTCCCCTTTCTCAGGGGGATTTGATGGAAACTTGTGTCAAGGATGTGAGATTTTCAGTGTGTGGGAGGATCAAGTTGGGGCAAGGACTCCCCAGCAGCTGAGGGTCTCTCTCTCTTCTAGTGCTATTGCTGGGGCTGGTGGTCCAAGGGGATCTTACTCTTTGGAGGCCATGTGAACCATCAGGTCGACCACCCAGTTGCTGTAGGCAAATTCATTGTCATACCAGGAAATGAGTTTGACAAAGTGGTCGTTCAGGGCAATGCCAGCCCCAGCATCGAAGGTGGAAGAGTGGGTGTCACTATTAAAGTCACAGGAGACAACCTGTTCTTCAGTGTATCCCAGAATGCCCTTGAGGGGCCCTTCTGATGCCTGCTTTACTACTTTCTTGATGTCATCATATTTGGCAGCTTTCTCCAGACGGCAGGTCAGGTCCACAACTGACACATTGGGGGTGGGGAAAGCCATGCCAGTAAGTTTCCCATTCAGTTCAGGGATGACCTTGCCCACGGCCTTGACAGCGCCAGTAGATGCAGGGATGATGTTCTGGGCAGCTCCACGGCCATCAGGCCACAGCTTTCCAGAGGGGCCATCCACAGTCTTCTGGGTGGCAGTGATGGCATGGACTGTGGTCATGAGTTCCTCTACAATGCTGAAGTTGTCATGGATGACCTTGGCCAGGGGAGCCAAGCAGTTGGTGGTGCAGGAGGCATTGCTGACAATCTTGAGAGAGTTGTCATACTTTTCATGGTTCACACCCATCACAAACATGGGGGCATCGGCAGAAGGAGCAGAGATGATTACCCGTTTGACACCACCCTTCAAGTGAGCCCCAGCCTTCTCCAAGGTTGTGAAGACACCAGTGGACTCCACAACATACTCAGCACCAGCATCGCCCCACTTGATGTTGGCAGGATCTCGCTCCTGAAAGATAGTGATGGCTTTCCCATTGATGACCAGCTTCCCATTCTCAGCCTTGACAGTGCCGTTGAACTTGCCATGTGTGGATATAGACCATGTAGTTGAGGTCAATGAAGGGATCAATGATGGCAACAACTTCCACTTTGCCAGAGTTAAATGCAGCCCTGGTGACCAGGTGCCCAATGCGGCCAAATCCATTTACTCCAACCTTCACCATCGTGTCTCAGGGATGCGGCTGAGGCTGCACAAGAGGAGAGGGCAATCTGGATCGACGAGGAGCAGAGAGCCTGTGTTAAAATTTTTAAAAGAAAATAAAAGAGAGTGAAGCTTAGGACACAGAATGCTGATGAGGTGGTTCTTCCTTGAAAAAGAGAGACTCATAAAGGCCCAGACATCCTTACATATCTGGAGGAGCCTATGTTTGTTGGAGGATTCATATTCTATCATGGTCTGTCAGAGAGATGACCAGTCTGGTCAGAAGGCTCCTCCAAGGACAGAACAAGCACTACTGTGCTGTTATTGCTGAGACACTCCTGTCAGCAGTGGAGACAGATCTGCTCCTTCAGTGCTTCCTTGTGGGACCCAGAACCTTTGGCGGTGCCAAGGTCACAAGAGCAGCAGGGAGGGGATTCCAGGTCCTGCAAGGAATTGCTAGGAGTGCCATTCAGTCGAAGGAAGAAGGTTCTGTACTAATGCAGCGGCTGCTGGTCACAAGAAGCCCCAAGGAGAGCTGTACAGGTACACGGTTCCTATTATTTCCTCCACTGGGTCCTGGGCAGAAGTACACCCTCTCTTTCCTTCTGCGGATCTGCATCACCTGTTGGTGTCCTGCACTTGGGTACCAGCGTTCATCATGCCTGGAGGTCTGAAGAGTAAGAATCGTGTTTGTGGGAAGCACCGCCAGGCCCCTGAGGAGGCAAAGGCTGCTGTAGGAAAAGAGAAAGTCTCCTCTACCACATCTGTCCTCCTTGTGAGGCTTCTCCTCTTCGTGTGCTTCTTCTCTTCATAGGGCTTCTCCTCCTCATCGGACTTCTCCTCCTCAAGTGGTTTCTCTAGGTCATGATGCTCTCCAACTCCTGAGGATTCTCCACCTCCTGATGATTCTCCTCCTTGTGAGGATTCTCCTCCTCATGGGGACTCTCCTCCTCATGAGGCTGCTTAGTGTCCCCCCTGGTCTTTCCGTTGAGCTGAGTTCTCAGGGAGTCCCACCCATCCCCAATGTTGATGCTTATGCCTTTTGCACAGGGGCTGATAGGGGTGACCAGAGCCAATATGGTGGGGGTGCTAGTTCCTCAGAGAACGCTGCAGAGGGCTCCCAGAAAGATCCTCTCATCAAGAGGATGAGCCTTCTGGTGCAGTTCCTGCTGCACACGTATAAGATGAAAGAGCCATTGATCACCAAGAAAGAAATCATGAAGATCATCAACAAGAAGTACCAGGAGCGCTTTCCTGAGGTCCTGCAGAGAGTCTCTGAGCACATGGAGCTGGTCTTCGGCCTTGAGCTCAAGGAAGTCGACCCCAGTGTTCCAACCTACCTCCTGGCCAATGTGCTAGAGATCAACAGGGAAGATTATGTCTTTGATACGAAGAGGTTCCCCAAGTATGGGCTGCTGCTGCCTATCCTGGGCATGATCTACATGAATGAATACCAGGTCAGCGAGGAGCAGCTCTGGCAATTCCTCAATCGAGTTGGGGTCTCTGATGGGAAGAGGCACTTCCTCTTTGGAGACCCCAGGAAGCTCCTCACCAAAGATGTAGTACAGGAAAAGTACCTGGAGTACCGCCAGGTGCCCGGCAGCGATCCTCCAACTTTCCAGCTCCTGTGGGGCCCCAAGGCCTATACCGAAGCCAGCAAGGCCAAGGTCCTAGAATTCATCGCCAAGATGCGGAGAATGGATCACAAGGCTTTCAAAATCCTGTTTGTGGAAACTTGGAAAGAGGAAGAAGAGAGAGCAGCAACCATGACGTGGTCCGTGGGTAATTTTAATGCCACGGCTAGGGCCCGATTCAGGGCAAAGTCCAGCAAGGCTTCCCGTGAAAAGAGAGAATAAAGGTTTTTCACATTGTTCCAAAAACTGTTATTGGTAGTCTAAGTAGAAGAGATGATGTGGGGCTTCAGACGACACATACACTTTTTCTTATGTGCCTGTTATCTGTGAGTAATGTGTAGATTTAGTCCATTTTCAAAAGTTGTGCCTTTAAGTTGAAGGTGTCTTTGCACCTAGAATCACAATGTACCATCATACACTTATTTCCATGGTGCAGATTTCAGGGTTAACATGGTGTGTTTGGTGAAACAAATGGAAAAATTCTTAGATTGATTTTGTAATATGCAGGTAGCTAAGATGACGTGGGAACAGGGAGAAATCCTGGGACATGTCAAAGAAATCAATGACAAAGAAGTACAAACAAAAAAAAGTAGATGGGGAGAGAGTATAGAACAAGTAGTTGATTCTAAGATTTCAACATTCTTATTGGTTTAAAAGAAAAAAGTTCTATGCCTGAATGTGTTTCTTTTTTTCTTGATATGCAGAAGAAAATAAATCAGTGAACTAGATCTCTTTTTCGCTTGCCTCTGCTTTGTCCAAACAGCAGTCCTCTTTGCAATTTGCAGGTTATCATGAGGGCCTTTAGGAAATTTCTTTTTCAGCCCCTCACCTACTTGTTAGCACATAATAGCTGTTCTGATCATTGAAGAGGCTGAGATGGTCTCTGAGCTCTCAGGCACTACTGGAAAGGGGAGAGGCCTTCAGGCTTCGTTTTAGGCATCAGGGGTGACTAAAAGGAAGAAGCTGAGGTGGGAGGTGGGTGACTAAGGAATCGTTTACATGGGATGGTAGGCGTTGGAAAGGGTCAGAAGTTGGGTAAGTTCTTGATGTTGAGATGTAGTCTACATTGAATCCTGTAGTCTTTGATCTACAGTAAGTTCTTCAAGGCTTCGTCTGTTGTGCCACCTGTGTAATCAAGGTTGTTAATGAGTTTTCCTCCAATCCTGATGTCACACTTTCCTTTTTAATTATAAACCAAATAATTTTTTAAATTATTCTTTCTTTTTTATTTTAAACATTTTTCTTTTATTATTATTAATTTTCGTGAACGTTTACAGAGACTTTGGATTTCCTTTTATTCATTGTTGCATTTTTCTCCCTGCCCACCCTTCCCCCCTAGTTTGCTCTTTTTGAAAAGTTCTTTCACTGGTATACAATCCCCCCACAGTGGCATTATGCCCTATTTGTCCTTTTGTGACTGAAATATTTCACTCAGCATAATGTCCTCCACGGTCACCTGTTTTGGTGGTGGTGTTTTGGGGTTTTTTAAAATAATTTTAATGAGCATTTACAGAGATTTTGGATTTCCATTCATTCATTCCTACACTTCTTTCCCCACCCATCCCTCCCCACCCCCAGTTCGCTCCTCTCTTTCAAAAGTAAAAGAATCACTCCTTCCCCGGTACACAATCCCCCCGCACCCCTCCCACTGCCCCAAGTACATTCCACTATGCAACCTTAATTGTGGACTCCTGTGATAACCATAAGACCCTATCATACATCACTTTTAAATTATTCACTCCCTCATCTGTTTCAGTGCAGTATACACAATTTATCCAGTTTTCTCATTCTTACCCCAACCCTGATATCAGTCCCATTTTCCAACAGTGGCACCATGCAATATTTGTCCTTTTGCATCTGAGATATTTCACTCAGCATAATGTCCTCCAGATTCACCCATTTTGAATAATATTGCATGAGTTCCTTGTTTTTCAATTCAGCGTAGTATTCCATTGTGTGAATATACCACAGCTTCTCTATCCATTCGTTTGTTGATGGGCACTGGGGTTGTTTCCTTCCAGCTCCTTGCTATTGTGAACAGAGCCACAATTAACATGGGTGTGCATATACCTGCTTGGATGTCAGTTATGGTCTCTTTGGGATATATTCCCAGTAGTGGAATTGCTGGGTCAAATGGTATCTCTATTTGCAACTTTTTGAGAAAGCACCATACAGCCTTCCACAGTGGTTGCACAAGGGGTCACCTGTTTTGAATAATATTTCATGAGTTCCTTGTTTTTCAGTGCAGCATAGTATTCCATTGTGTGACTATACCACAGCTTTTCTATCCATTCATTTGTTGATGGGCATTTGGGTTGTTTCCAACTCTTTGCCATTGTGAACAAAGTCACAATAAACAGGAATATGTCAGAGTTATCTCCTATTTCTTTTTCCTTTTCATGTGACTTTGCCAGCATCACAACAAGAGTGACAAACACTTGCCAGTATGATGCAGCAGTGAGACCATTATGTTTTCCAGAATGAGCACACCAATAAGATAAATCTATCTTTCTAAATTATTTGTATCTAAATATTGATATTTAATCAGGTGAAGGATGAGATAATCTGCTTCCATAAAAGTGTTCAGCCTTGGAAACCTTATGGGACAACTCTACTCTGTTTCATAGGGTCCTTAAAAGTACTAATTGAATAAAGGGAAATGGCTATTGGTGTTAAGGTAAAACATTTTTCAATCAATCAGTCAATCAAAAGCTGTGTTGCATTGGAAAAACCTGCTGTCAGGGACTTCTCCAGAATGTTAAAATGTAAAGATATCAGCTTAAAACTATGTCTTAGGGAGAATTTCTCTTGTTTATTCACAGTCCCAGAGTAACTGCCAGTCTTGATCTGGGTGCTGAGATACTGTGTTATCAAATGAATGGATTGAGGTATTATGGTACATTCACACAATGGAATACTATGCAGCACACAGTAGCAATGATTTTTTAAATTACTACATAGCTCAGGAGGGACTGGAGAGCATTATGCTCAGTGAACTAACTGCACAAGGACAAATATTGTATAAAACCATTATTATAGAATTGGTATAAGGATCCGAGGAGGGAGAGGGCGGACACAGAGCAATGAGGATGTCAAAGGAGAGGGGGAGATTAATCATAGAGTTGTGCAGTTTGATGGGAGTGGTGAGGGAAACTGGAAAAATCTGTTCTCAAAATCCATGTGTTCAATCATGTTCTCAATAGACGAGTATGATAAAAAAGTAAGTGTTGCAAACCCTAGATCTAGCTATGAATAATCCCATGTGCTAGTAGGGTTTTCATTACTATGCTAATAAGGCTCTGTGTGTGGTGGGGGGGCGTGTATTTTACACCAGTGACTTTTGAGATCTAAGAGGCCCATTTAGATACAGTGATAAGAGTGACATTATTAGGAGAGAACCAAAGCAGCATAGACCATAAACCCAGGAACTCCAAAGACAGAATGACAGAAAAGTGCAAACAGAGATACTCCCTCAGATCCCACAAAGAGAAAGCCTTTCCCTAGATCTGTTATCCAGCTTCCTACATAGTGAGAAAATCAGTTTCTGTTTGTGAAAGGTAAGTACTTGTGGTATGTCTGTTAAAGTAGCACTCAGTAATTAAGACACACAACTCTGGGGCCTGGCCTTTGTCCACCACTCCCACAGCCCCACCTAACCCCGCACCCAAACAAACCCACTGCCATTCAGTGAATTCTGACGCAAAGCACACCTATGAGGTAGAGTAGTGCCTTCTTAGGGTATAACATTTTTACATGGGCACACTGCCTTGTCATTCAAACCACGCAACTTTTGGTTAGCAGCTGAATTCTTGACCTACTCTGCTACCAGAGACCCAAGCAACCCAATTAAAAAGTTCTTACTTAAAATCACCTTTCAATGAAGGCTAGAGTTTTTTGAAGACCTCACAGGTATACATTTGGGAATTTACACTATACTGCTTTTATTTGGGAGCTCCCTGGGGGACAAATAAGGAAATTTAGTTATTTGTGTGTAAATTTTTAAAACAGCCCAAGCAATTACTCTTTTGACTTTTCATTTGAGCAAATTCATTTTCCACACAACCATTCCTGCACCTTTGGTTTTGTGACACTGATTATAATACACTGAAAGAACACTTTTCCCTATTCTTCCCTGTGATTCTCATCCCCATGGAACCATAGATCCTTCTAGGCTACCCCTTCCTGGCTTCTGAGCTTTATTCCTGAGCAAATGATGCCCTTGTGTATTTGATTGTTCTAAGGAGTATCTTCCTGGTGTTTCTGCTCCCGTTATAATCCTCCTGTTTCAATGAACATTGAATTACATTTGTAAGATTAGTTCCAAGGTACAAGGGTGACTAAGGGCTGTATGGTCTGGGGTTCCATCAATCTTGGTTTTCCAAGACTTTTCCATGTCAGTTTCTAGGAGATCTCAAGGGAACTCTGGCATGCTCTGTTGTAGGGGCTTACCCTGCCAACCCAAAGAACTGCAGTAGAAATTCACCAGCCACTCTAGGGGTTGGGGAAGGTAAGCAGTGCCTCCCTGGCCATTTCTAGGGTCTGAAAACCCATTGGAAGGTCAGCTATTAGTCAGTTCCTATGAGAGGGTAATGATGCAGTTTTTCATGAGCTATGATTCCTCCCTTGGTTGGTTGGTCACTCTGCTTTTTACATTTTAAAGATTTTCTTCAGATGTGTTGTTAGGAGGGGATGGTCCTTGGAAAAGGAAAAAAATGCTCAGATAAGTGGAAGGTTGGTGACATGCGGGGAGACCCACAAGGAGAGGGATACACAAAATGGCTGTAAATATGGGCTCTCATAAAGCTTGGATACTAATGACATCACAGGACACCCCAGGGTTCACAGCCATTTTTTTAGGGTTGCTGTGAAATATAGGTGATTTCATGACCTTTAACATCAGTAAACATAGTAAAATAGCCTCTTTAACATACTACAATTATCCAAAGAATTCCATGTTTTTTTCTCATTCCCAGAAAGATGATTGGATAGAATGTGGAAATACAAATTATAGCACGTGAATAAAATACTGTTGAAGATTGTTAGAAAAATGGCTGGAACTGTACAGCAACAAGACACTGCCAGAAATTCTAGGTAGATTTAGGAGAGACCATGAAAAGGGAGGTATGATTGCTGATGCCAGGTGAATATTAACTGAAAGCAACAAATACCAGAAAAATGTATGCTTGTCCTACTTTTTTTTAATATCAATTTTTATTTTATTA